CTTCAACTCCCAGAATTCCTGGGAGTTGAAGTCCACAAGTCTTAAAGTTGCCAAGGTTGGACACCCCTGTTTTATTATCTCCAACTTTGCCCCCAATGTCCTGTTTACCTTCTGGCTGGAGAAAAACTCTCCCAGGAACAGCTTTTGACTGTAGAAAATTCAGTCCCAAAATATACAAACTGCAACTAAAAATCCACACCACTTCCTTCTAGCCCTGATGATGTTACCTAGTTGGGTCATGAAATGCCTGCAAGAATGCAACCAAGTTTAGAGACCACCAAAGACCCCGCAGTCGGCCTCCTCCTCCTCCTCCACAAACCCCACTCCCTTCTAGCCCCGATGATGTTACCTAGTTGGGTCATGAAACGTCTGCAAGAAAACCACCCAGCTCAGAGAGCACCAAAGGACCCCACAGTTCAACCCCTGAGCTCCCACTATTCTGTACCTCATTCAGCGCGCACATCCGTGCGATGGAGCCAATGTTGTTGGTGATGGTGATCAAGGCTGCCCGGGCCAGGTCCTCCTTACTGGCGGCATCTCGCTTCTCTTTGCTCATCATGTTTCCAAAGCTGATAGGGAAGAAGAAGGGGACACAGGGCAGTTTTTAAGGAACACACACAGAGAGCCAGACCGTCAGAGGCAGAGGAGAACTCCAGGCGAAGTTTTTTAAAGACTCGTTCATCAGAAGAAGCGAATCCAGCCACAACGATGGCTAGAGCAGTGCGAGAACAGTGCTACTACACCTCCCTCCGCTCAAAATCAATCTAAAACAGGGATCTCCAACCTTGGCAACTTTTAAGACTTGTTGTGATGACCCAGGGTGGGATACAACATAAACACGGTCACGAAAACAGGTGAAGCCCCTTTTATTCCTTCACTTTGGCTTCAAAGCTCCAAATATCCTTGACTGAGACAAAAAACTCCCCCACAAACAGTTACGAAAAGGAAGAAATGCCGTTTAAACTAAAAATGCCTATAAATTATAAAGAGCAAAAACAACACAAACCACACTGAAGCAATTAAGGGAACTCAGCAAGATAAGGACTTGAAGACGTCCACAGATATCGGAACACACACTGGGAAGGATGCCAAACTCAGAGAGGAATGGACAAGACTAGAGATATGTCCACATTTTGTTTCCAGCACTGGCCCATACACATGTCTGTCCATTTAACCAGTTCTCACAGCTGCAGCCCATGAAGGGGATCAGGACCCTTTCCTCCCCCGTAGACCATGCCATTCACGTCTCTCCCTTATCCTCTCCTCCCTGCGTGCCCAAGGATGGAGAGGGGATGGGCCTGGGTCCTCCTCTGACTGCCCAACTGGCTCTGACCTTCCCCAGCCTCCTCCACAACCTCCGGAGCCCCACTTCCACTCCCTGTCCGCTGTTCCTCCTCTCCCTCGGAGAGTCTCCATCAGGGGCATGACACTTGTGGACTTCAACTCTCAGAATTCTCCAGCCAGCTTTCCTTGGGGAGGATTGCAGAGTTAGCTCTTCCCTGCATGCATTATTTTTCCCCGTACAAATATACTTTATTATATATTAAAATATATATTGTAATAAATTAGATTTGTTAATATTATATAGCAGAGGACTCCAAACTTGGACACTTTAAGACTCGTGGACTGGAGAATTCTGGGAGTTGAAGTCCACAAGTCTTAAAGTGGCCAAGGTTGGAGACCCCTGATCTAAAACCTTCGCTGCAAAGATTTCTGGGTAAAATGGCACCACCAACAACAAACTCAAAAATTCAGGGGGGGGGGAAATATTAAAAAAAATATAAGACTCTTCCTGACCTGAATTTGAGAAACAGAAAAAGGTCAGAGCTGAAGCCTGCAAAAAGGAAATGTCAGCAAGAGTCGAGACAGATTTTTGTATACAGCTAGGCCTTGGACTCACAACCTTTCATTTTGTGACCGTTTGAAGTAACAACAGATCCGGTTAAATGTCTGTGGAGATTTTCAGCCATCCAGGTCCTGGTTGTCCCAGAAGTGCTTTTTCAAGAGGCAACTGGACTTTCTGGCTTTTCTCTGAAGACCTTTCGCTTCTCATCCAAGAAGCTTCTTCAGCTCTGACTGAATGGTGGAGGAAGGAAAGGATTTATATTCCTTGCAGACAGCTGGTCATTTGCATCCTTTTTAGAGAGTCGTTGAGGCCGCTTGGAGGTTTGTCTGTGTCCTCGGTTATCCCAAAGGTCCTTTTTCCAGGAGGCAACTGGACTTTTTGGTTTTTCTTTTGAAGACATTTCACTTCTCATCCAAGAAGCTTCCTCAGCTCTGACAGGATGGTGGGGAATCGAAGGATTTATACTCCTTGCAGACCAATGGTCATTTGTATCCTTTTAAGAGAGTCGTTGAGGCCACTTGGAGGTTTATCTGTGTCCTCAGGGTCACCCGAGTAGTGCAAATGGGTGGGGAGCTTTCTTGGAACTATTGAAAGCACCATGTTGTGGAGCTGTTGGACACAGCCGTAGTGTCAGCCTTCAAGATCTTCTACTATTGCTTTGCATCTTTCGGCTGCCATAAGTAACGGGGGAGGAAGGGGGAAAAGTCTGGGAAGCGAGCTGGAGGTGTTACAATCTAGTATTGTATAAAATGAGGAGGGGGGAGTATAAATTCCTGCTTAGGTTTCTATTTCTCGCTTAGCTTTCTTTTCTCTGCGCAGCTGCAAACCTTTATCAAAGTATGCCAAGGTCAACGGACAGAGGCCTCATCACCACCTGAAGATGTCCACATGATGATATTCACAACTTTTAATTGGAAGAATCATTTGAACTATTGGGGGTGGGAACATTTCCATCACTTTGTACATGTGATTTGCGCGCCTGATTCCTCAGATTCAGAATTCTATGGTTGATACCACTTCATTTCCAGTAAAAGATATCTTTTCTCTAATCTAAGGAGTCTAAGTATTTCTTTCTTGAATTTTGGATGGAGCACCACCTGACACGTAGGCCATATTGGGGACGAGTCTGTGTTGTATCTGCAGACAGCTGGTCGTTTGCATCCTTTTAGAGGGTCTTTGAGGCCACTTGGAGGTTTGCCTGTGTCCTCGGGGTCACCTTCTTGGACCTGCTGAAAGGACGGTGTTGTGGAGCTGTGCTTTCTGCAGGATGTTTTTCCTCTGCCTCGCGTCCCTTCCCTGGTGAACAATAGCTGTTGGGAGAGGAGTCTCTGTTGCGTCGGCATCTCACACTGAAGCGCAAATGCTTCCTTTGCCATTTTTCTGGAAATCCACACATCCTCCCTCCCCCACATTCCGAAGGGGGTTCATCCCAAAAGGCATAGCTAAAAATGTCTACTACTCAGCTGACCCCGAGGACACAGATAAACTTCCAAGCGGCCTCAACGACCCTCAAAAAGGATGCAAATGACCAGCTGTGTCTGCAAGGAGTAGAAATCCTTCCATTTCCCCCACCATCCTGTCAGAGCTGAAGAAGCTTCTCGGAGGAGAAATGAAACGTCTTCAAAGAGAAAAAACCCAGAAAGTCCAGGTGCCCCTTGGGAAAAAAACCAACTTTGGGTCTCTATGCCAGCAATCCCCATTTTTTGGCACCAGGGATCAGTTTCAAAGACCATTTTTCCACAGGGCTGTGTGTGTGTGTGTGTGTGTATGTGTGTGTGTGTGTGTGTGTTCGCGTGCAACCTAGGTCCCATTCATGCGTAGATGAAGCTTCAATTGTTCACCCACCGCTACACTTCCAGCTGTGCGGCCTGGTTCCTAACCAGCTCCAGACTGGTACCGGTCTGCGGCCCAGGGACTCTCGGCCACCCAGTGTGGGTTTTACTAAGCCGCCAACCCAACGCTGACTTGTGGGGGACCCTAGACCTAACCACCGACAAGGGTGTGTGTCCGGGTTTTGTGCAACGCTCCCCCCTGAAAGCACCTCGGGGGGGGGGGGGGGGTTTCTTACCTGGATGCGATGGTCCAACCGGGCAGCCCAAAGCGCTCGTAGTCCCCTCCGTAAATATCCCGCACGAGTTTGTCCACTTTGGTGCTGTCTCCGTGGGATGCCATTTCGAGAGCCTCTTCGAAGGTGGAGCAGCCGGTCAGGAGGCAGCAGAGGCCGAAAAACGTGCCCCCTCCAAGGCTGGCAAAGAAGACACGGGGTCAAGCAGGGCTGGGGGTCCAGGGAAGAGCAGAAGGAGGGGAAATGTATGTCTCGTATTTATCTGCTGCTCGTCTCGCTCTTCAGCCCACTTCGTCCTCGTTCGCTCATTTTGGATATCCTGCTAGCTGGCGTGCATCTGCCGAGTCAGCTCTGCATGGGGTTATGTCCATGGGAACAAACTGTTCCTGCAATTTCATCTCGAAACGAGGCCAGGAAATAATTCTAGACTCTTTAACCATTTCCATTTTTTTTAATGCCCGTTTTCTGGGAAGCCAAGTTCCCATTACGGAAGAGATGGCTTATTTCTATGGGTACTCTTGATTGACATGCCACCTTCATTACATTTTTTAACAATTAAGCCAACGCAGCAAGCGCACGCAAATGCTTCCTCCTCCTCCTCCTCCTATTTTCCCCCGCAACACAATCCTGTGAGGTCTGTCGGGCTGAGAGAGAGAGAGTGACTCAAAGTCACCCAGCTGACCTTCATGGGTAAGGTGGGACTAGAACTCACAGTCCCCTGGTGATGGGCCTAAAGTTACCCAGCTGGCTTTCACACCTGAGGAGGAACAAGAACTCATACTACTGATTGGCCCAGTCACCCAGTTGACTTTCATGCCTAAGGCAGAACTAGAACTCACTATCTCCTGGTGATTGGCCCAAAGTCACCCAGCTGGCTTTCATGTCTAAGGCGGGACTAGAACTCACCGTCTCCTGG